TATGAGAAGGTATACAGAATAAAACAATGGACCCCCATAGCCCTCCACAGCCACAGGGCTGAGGTTGCTAAAGATGGTGCATAGAATCTCATTTTGGTAGTAGCTGAATTTACAATCTAAGATGACCTCTCAGCCTCATAGTGTGTTTAAGTGAGGGCACTGATTAGGAAAGGATGGTGTCCTGTAAGTTGGGGAAAGATTGTGTTGGAAAACTCTGATTAATCTGGGGACATGAAGTTTATATTCTGATGAATCTTCTTTGCCAGGGGAAGAGATCTTCACACACTCAACATAAGAGATCTCTCCACATCCAGTGAAAGTGACCGCTCATTCCCAATGTATKGCCTTTCCCACCCCCATCCATGGGCATTAATCCTGTATTGTCTGAGGAAACCATAATGGCATCCTTTGAGGCAGTTTCTATGCAAGATAAAGCTAATCCTCTCCCCTCTACTCTCTTTTCCTTCTAGACCTATAACTTGATTCAAGTCCCAGCAGCAGTTTTCTAAAAAGTGAAATATAAGTTTTAGCCTATGAGGAGGTATACTGTACTCCAAAAGAATGACTTGAATTTTCTAATTTATATAGACAGAAATCCAGTTATAGAAATGGATGCTGTAAGTCTGGTGTCAGATGGAAGCAACATAAAGTTGGATCAGACTGAATTCATTGCCGAGGTTCAGCATTGAATGTAGTAGCTGGGGTAGTTAGAAAGGACAATAATGTTTGATTGGTTGGCTGAAATATTGATGGACAGGTTATTCACAGAGAGTGAATTGGAAATAACAGACCAGTCTCAGTTCAAGGTTTAATGTAGAGTGAGSGAGTCAAAGGCCTGGAGAGATGGAATGTTAGAGCGAATTTGTCCTTTAAGACCTAGTCACTCACACTGAGAGGGCACAGGAAACACATTTGGCCAAGACTGTGAAAAGTAAGTTTGTGAGAGGAACACTGGTTTAAGAGTGTTACCAAAAGATAACAAAGTTACAAGTGACCAATAAAAATACAACACAGGTTCTCTGATCTCTGACTCTAAAACCTTTTAAACTTTTCTTATTATACAACATTTTCCTTATGAATTTTGAGCTTTGAAATAAGAAATTTAATGTAGTGTTCTAAGAATTTGCAAGAAAGTGGTGATGAGGAAAAAATGTTACCCTCCCCCAAAAAAAAGGAAGAAAGGAAAGAAAAAGAAAGAAAAACAGAGAAAATCTTAAGGACAATTTTTTTTTTTATACACAGGTTTTTATAGTCCAGAATATGTCATTTAGATCATCGAGAAAAGGCCAACTATTTTTTCCTCCTCAGGTTCATGAGGTTAAGAGACTTCAGAAGGGAGAGCAGTTATGTATACTTCTCAGAGAAGTATACATAACCCAAAGAACATAAAAATAAAAAGCCCTCAATGCCACATTCCTATTTTAAAATGCCTATGGGAACCATGGCAAATAGCAACTTCATTGGTTTTTAGCCATCCCAAATTTTCATTAAAAATGACATAATGCTTTTGAAGCTCCCAAGTTGTCCAACTTTTACTATTCCAGAGGGCAATCAAGCTTCTGTCAGGGTCATAAAGGACTCTATAGGAAGGAAGGAAAATCTAGGACATTAAGGATGTTTTAAGCAATTAACTGTGCAATTACAAGTGTCATTATAAGAGGCAAGCAGATACTTTACTTCTGTTATGGATCTGATGGGAGGTGTCTCCCCAGAAACTCCTGGTCTAATTCAGGAATATAAGAGGTGAGATGATTGGATTGAGAGCTGTAATCTAATCAGCCAACCCTAGTTTGAATGGATGAACTGGGTGGTAAATGTTGGAGCATGGTTGGAGGAGGTGGGTCATTAGAGGTGTGCCCTAGAAGCATTCATCTTCTCTGTGGCTCCATCTCCTTCCTCTCTGTGTTTCCTGGCTGCCAGGAACAGAACAGCTTCCCTTTGCCACAGCCTTCTGCCATGATGTTCTGACCCACCTTGGGCCAAGAGCAATGGAGTCATCCAACTATGGACAAAAATCTCTGAAACTATGAGCTCAAAATAAACTTTTCCTCCACTAAGTTGTTCTTGTCAGGTATGTTGGTCACAGTGATGAAAAACTGACTAACGTAAGTACATAAAATAAGACAATGTAATGGTGGAAGTTGAGATTTGGAGATGCTACTTTGCCAGCTTTGAATACAGAATATGCCAAAGTCTGGGCTTGGCACTGAATCACGAGCCACCACACACTTGTAGATTCAAACAGCAATTCTTTATTCCCGAACTCACACCGGCCTCCACACAGGTCCAGGGGCAATCTAAAATCTGCCCGCACAATTCACCTACTCCACGAGGCTTTTTTCCAAATCCCATTTGAATCTCACGAGAACTCAACGGGAACAAACAGCAGGAACACCCTAATCCCAGCAGCAATAATCTTCAACCTCCAACTTCCCTAAAACCCCTATTGTCTTAAACCGGGAACACCCTAAACCCAAGGACCGGGATACTTCCTCAAACCTGCAGGATACTTCCTCAAACCTGCAGGATACAGCTTAAACCTGGATCCACCCTCGATCACCTTGAGCAGGGTCATCTTTCTCAAACACACATGCAAGGTCACAGCAAATTTCCAAGGCAAGTCCATTTAACATGGGGTATGCTGGCAAGGAAATATCGATGCGTCATTCCTACTTGGCAATGGCCCTCGGCAAGAATAAAAGGCTATGAGCCCAGAAAAGTGCCCCTGAAAGCTGGAAAAGTTCAGGAAGCAGATTCTCTCCTATGGACTCTAGCATGGCCTTGCTGATACCCAGGTTTCAGCTGATTTTGAAGCTGACATTGGACTTCTAATTAGAATTATTGTTAGTGTTGTTCTAAGCCACCAAGTTTGTGGAATTTGTTACAACATCCATAGAAAGCCCATACATACTTGATTTTACTTTTCTCTATCTTTCTGTGCACATGTAAGATAATAGCTGTTGCAATCATTCACAAATATGCATATATATTCAATTATGTATATATTCCACATATAGAGATATATGTTGAATATATTGGTGTATATTAAATTTGTGTGAAAACATGTTCAAAATTATCTGATTCAAAATCCAAATTCCTGCAAGGAAGGTATGATTGGTCTAATTGTAGTGTTCACTCCTGATTCACTTATTTATGAAAAGAATGAGTTAGCAAGAAGTCATATCTCCCTGTGTCCACAAAGCTTCTGAGAAGGTATTGTGAGGGGGCTTTTTACGAAGTATGTGGAAACACGAGAAAGACAAAAGACATCTCTAGGAGCAAAAATAGTCCTGAGTAGCATGGTCACTGACTATCTGGTTATATGGACAAAGATGGGAGCTTTCAGAGTTGGCTTGGAATCTCCTATAGAAGAGCATAGAAAGGGTGCTACCTGAAAAATGGATTTAGGATATTATAAGAAATCACAGTGCATCATAAGATAATATAGTGAACAAATGTTTAAAGATCAAAAATAAAAAAAAAAAACAATGACTCTAAGAATTAAGTAGTCACATCATTTTCTGGAAATTGGGGAGAGGATAATGAATAAGGGGAGGTACATTTGATCAGTGCATGCTATATGCATGTATGAAAATATCACGTTGAATCTCATTAATATGTATAATTGATACATGTTAATATATATTTTTTAAAAAAACTAAATTTAGTAAATTGAGAAATGAGTTTACAATAACCTTCAATAATAGTGAACAATGAAACATCAATTAGAAGTAAAATGTTAAATTGTTTATATTTGAGTAGCTTTGTCAAGCCAAAAGACACCATAAATAATGTTAAAAGCCAAGGAATAGCTGAGAAAAGAGTTGCAAGTAATATTACCGTTAGTATTAGTTTTTAATACATAAGAAGAACAGCAAACCAATAAGAAATATTTAAAAGATACCTTAGAAAAATAGCCAAATAGTGCTTCACAAAAGAGGAAGTCCAGATGCTCAATAATTGAACGAAAAGGTGAGCAAACTCAATAATTCAAACAATCAAAGATCAAAAGTGTTTGCAATGGCAAAGAAAAACATCTCACTTACTGCTGGCAGGAGAGTAAATTGGTGCAATCATTTTTGAGATGATTTTGACAATATTGAGGCAACTTCAAAATAAAGATGTTCTCTGATGGAGCAATTATAGTCCCAGTTAAATACAGAACAGTAGTACATTGACAAAGGAAGCTATGTATAAGAATATTTAGTGTAACATTGTAACAAAATGAAAGGAAATGAGTAAATGTCCATCAACAATAGTATGAATATTTTACTTTTTACATCTACTTTGGAACGCCTAATAGTTTAAGTGAATTATATAGAACTAAACTCATTTAAGTCTTATATAGAACTAAACTCAAGAGTTGATGAATGAAGAAAATTCCAAAAAGTGATGTGTATGTTATGATATTTAATAATTTTCATAAATTTGAAAAGCTAGTCCCTATAATTTTTATATATTCATTGAAATGAAAATGTTAAGATTATTTTGATCATTTTATATTGTGCATTATTATTATTATAAAAGTGTGTTATTATGGGAAACAAGGGAGGAAATGAGATTAGGAATATATTTATAAGAATATCATTTATACCTAGAAATTTAATTGAAAAACTTCTAGTAGAAATAATGGAAACAATATGGGGTGCAATGCTAACTTTTCGTTAAGAGGAGTGATGTGTACACAGGTATTTATTATATTGCTTTGTATTTTTTCTTATGTCCAAAATATTATAGGATACAATAAAAAGTAGTATATGTCATTATAAATTTTTGTGAAATATAGAGTTAACACAAGTATTATTTATTTGACATTGATTTTTATTAATAAAAATTGTAGAGAAAGCTATTTGTTTAGGAGGCTAGGGTTAAAAAACTCACTTGCTGAATCTTTTTACAGAACCCCAGCCCACTCACAGTTATTTAAGTTATGCTGAACACAAAATACAGCACACAGAAAGATACAGGTGGGTGTACACTGCAAAATATGGATCATAACATCATAGAGCCCAGGTAACACGACGAGCTTGGACATGTGATCTGTTCGCAGTGTCTTCCTTTGAACTATGGGAGTGCACACGGACGATGCTACGAGGCATCACAGTGCGTTCTGGAAGCGAAATAACTTGGATGGAACTCCCAGACAGCTGTAGATCTTTGGCAGATTTTTGGATTTTCAGGCAGGTACAGCTATTTACAAACACCTTGTATTCTATGAAAGAGAGGACACCTAGGGAAAGCACAAGCAGGGGAGCAGGATAAAGGAACAATGAAGAGTCACAGAAACATTTCCCTTTATGTTGACAGAAGACCTGGACCCAAAGCCTGGTGGATCCCTGCCAACTACCCAAAGCCATCAGGTAAAAGGGAATGCTTTAGTGGAAGAGACTGAAAACACATGCATTAACAGCTTACATGCTTCTCAGCTCAAGAAAATTGAGAATTCTTTTTGAAAGAAGATGTACTTCTATCTGATTTAGGGAGAGCAATTTTCAAAGAAATTTTATGAGGAGGATCTCCTTTGAGCACCAGACACTGCTTCTCTCTTCCCTCAAACTGCTCAGGCACTACACTATATTCCCAGGGTCACTGCCCCTCTCCATACAATTGAGCATTCCAGTCTCAGCCACTCTCCTGGGTGGTGAGCATGACAGTTATCTCTTCCCTAAACTGGGGAAGGTATGAAAGATGGAAGAAAAAAATGGAGCGCAGTGAACACTTCACCCAGGCCTGATTTCCAGCTCTTTCCTCATAGGAGCTGTCTTTAGAGAATGAGTTCAGAAGATCTTTAGTCTTGTAAAAAGCAAGGTTTGTACCTTTTGCTCCATTCCACTGTCCCATACTTTCACCCTGACCCCTACCAGGAGTAGAAGGGTTCCCTTCACTCTTTAAGGACCCCGAGGACACTCACTACAGGCTAGAAGGAGGATGATGGTGAAGTAGGCAGTGGCAGCGACCCAGGTGATCTTGAAACTAGAGAAGTACACAGTTTTACCTTTCCTTAGCATACCATCATACAGTAGAAGTGCACAGAACAGCAGGATACCTGGTGTCCAGAAAAAAAGAGAAAATGGTCTCAAATCAGAAACTTTGATTCCTTTAACTCTGCACCTGACATCCCAGCCTCCACCCTCTCCAATTGCATCTTACCCCAAGACTGGTATCAATTTAGTGTGAGATCTAATACTGCACATATCTCTAAATCAGAGAACTGGGAAGGCCAGCTGGTCAGAGACTGTACCATGGGACCTACAAACCTACTATAACGCCACACCTGTGTTAGGAGAGCTAGTTACCTGTCAAGAGACTGAAGAGGAAAATGATGAGGTAGACATATTTATTTTGAGGAATAATGTAGGTGAAAAGCAATCCCAAGATGAAGTTAGAGGTGCAGGAAGTGATTAAGACTGTTAGCATCATAATCCTGACAATTTTCAGGCCATCTGTTGGAAAGCAGAAGTTGCACTGAGAAAAGGACACATATTTCTTTTAGACTCATTTCCACCTGGGACCCACATATCTCTAGGTAAAAAATGAGAACAGGGTAAAAGATTTGATTAAGTAACTAAGAGAGAAAGAGGAAGAGGATAAAGAGGCAGGTGTCTTTAGGCTGGAAAAAGGACTTTATAAGCTTCTTTCTCATTCCCCCCCCCCCGCCCCCACCCCCAGAACTCATTTCTTATCAAATACCTTAGTTTACCTGTCCTTATAGTGGCAATATAACCTATATTCCTTCTTGTCAGTTACCTTCCTTTTCAAATAGCCCTTCTACTCTCATTGTTCTAACCACCCTGCTGCCACCAAGTTTTCTCAGATATTTAGCAATTAAGTCTCTAAGCTTCTAATGTTTTCTCCTAAACACCTAAGCGGTGAGATTTTAGAGTCTGCCCTGAGTGTGTTGATTATGGAAGTGGGCACACACTGCAGCCTGAGGAAGTTGCTCCACAGAATACTAGGTAAGTTGATGAGATGATCAGAGTCGAGAACAATGAAATCTTCCTCTTCACCCATCAATTTTCAAAGCATAATTCTGACCTTCTGGCCAAACAGCAGTACAACACGTCATCCATGGATTGTGGATAGTCTCATTGTTCATTGTCTGGTTGTTTGTTGCCTCGTTGTTTGTGGTCTTGTTTGCTGTCTCGTTGTTTGTTGCCTCGTCTGTTGTCTTGTTTGTTGTCTGGTTGTCTGTTGTCTCATTTATTGTCTCGTTGTTTGTTGTCTCGTTTGTTGTTTTGGGGACTAACTTAATCCATTCCTCCAAAATGACTCCTACTATCAAGAAGAGTACTACCCAGGAGGACACGAGTATATTGATGGCTTGGATATGCCTCGATGACACAGGCATTATTTTGGGTGGAAATTTCTAGCTGAGACCACAACAAATATTTCAAAAGTCTCTTTGATAAGTCACAGGAGAAAAGGGAAAATCTGGACTTTTAGTGAATACTGATACATGGGCAGTGGCAGAAGCTGAAGTAGGCTGTGGAACAGAGAAGATAACTTCCTCTCTTTACCCTTCCTATATTGAGGGTGGTCTGTTGTTAGGCAACAAACTGCCACGGAATCACCTATTGGTTTGACCCTTGACCCTGGGGCCTGTGAAGTAGAAGGACCAAGATGCTCAGAGGGGCTGAGAGAGCTACCAGACATAGAGGGAGATCTGATATCATACACCCCCCCCACACACACACACAGAAAGAGGTGGGAGGGAGGGAGAGAGAGAGACACTGAAGGAGAGACTGAGGGAGAGAGAGATGAACAGAGGCCTTGAAAGAAGCTAGACACTCATGACTACAGCAGTTCCATTTTAGAGTTAGAATTACCAATTCCAGGATTAGTTGACATGCAGCAGGCTTCTGTGAAGAGGATTTCAAGATCATTTGGATGAGTAGTCAGCTAGCTAAGCTAGCACCACTGCAAAAGGAATGACCATTCCAAATATAGAATATTTTGAAGAAACTCAGGATCTTTTTGGCATTTCCCAGCCTAGTTTATTTAGTGAGGCTGTCAAGAAATAGACCAGTGCCTTGAAATCTGAAGAACTGGCCCGATACACCGGGCCATTGTAGTCTAATATCACTTACAAGGTATAGACCGTCGTTTCTTGGCAGAATTGCCTTTGTAACTTGTCAGAGAAAACATTTTTAGATTCCTTGAGTAGGCAACCATGGTACACACTAAGCAGAAACTGAGGGCTTGTACTGAAATCCCCCAATTTCCTTTTACTGAATAAACAGGAAATCTTCTCCAAAGGACCCCTTCTGCCTATTATTGTTTTGACCTTCTTGCAGGCCACTTTCTCAGGGTCAAAAATAGCTTCTTTCATTGCCTTAAACATGCTACGTTGTCTCTCTTCCAGCCCCTTCTATACATCTTTTTGTTGTTGTTGTTGAACTGTGTATTGAATCCAGGGGTGCTATACCATGGAGATATATCCTTAGATTTTTTTTTTTTTTGAGACAGGGTCTTGATAAGTTTTTGAGAGTATCACTGAGACACTGAGGCTGATATTGACCTTGTGATCCTTCTGCCTCAGGCTCCCAAGTTGCTTGGAATATATGTATGAGTCCCTATGCCCAGCTTTTAAACTTTTTTTTCTCTGATTATATATATAATTTGTTCTTATTCATTATATATTGTAGTAGAATGTATTTTGACATAAATACACGAAGTACAACTTCTCATTCTTCTGGTTGTACATAATGTAGAATTACATTGGTTGTGTAATCATATATGCACATAGGATAGTAATTTCTGGTTCATTCTACTGTCTTTCCTATTCCCATTCCCCCTCCCTTCCCTTCATTCCCCTTTGTCCAATCCAAAGTATTTCTATTCTTTCCTATCTCCCAATTATTAATTCAGGTTTTTTTTTGGTTTTAAGTTTTTTGCATCATTTATATATCTTGGAGATTAATGCTCTGAGGCACTACATATCTTTTGATAGTGTATTTTCTTTACCTTTTTAATTTATAAATAACAATGCTCAACAATGTATTTAATCTTACAAAGGAGTCTTTATGGTGAAGGAAATGGACTTAGGATCCTGGGTTTCAATCCTGGGTCCACTTAGCAGACATGTGATCCTAGAGATAATAATACTACATAATACTTTTGTAAAGATTAAATGAATTTAGAGATGTTACGTGCCAAAAGATTTCTTTGCAAATAGTCAATAACGTGTAAACCATTACTGTCATATTAATTTAGGTTTCCTGGGAAAGAGACTGGGAGGGAAATCGGTAGTGGGGCAGTTTATTGGGAAGTACACCTGGGGACCACATCTGTGTTTAAGGGCAGCAGACTTTAATTGGAAGTTGAACTGAGAGGTACTTGCAATAGAAGAAACATTAGCCAATCCCATCAGTAGTGCTGGAACCTGGGTCATCCATCAGAATCATTCTGAACAGAGGCAAGAGAGCTAAGGTTGTTTTATACTGGGCATCAGATTGTCTTTGAAAGCAGGCTACCCTGGGGTGAGATCTCCCTTCTGTTTCAGGGGCAATTCCTAATCTCTCAGGAACCACAAGCCTCACAGAGATTTCTCTACTGTAATACAAAGCTTGCTGTTTGAGTTGCCAACTACCATGGAATCAATCATCTATTGCTTTGATCCTTGATCCAGGGGCCTCACAGAGTGGAAGGACCTAGAGGGTAGACAAGGCAACTCTTATGGTTATGTTTTTGCCTATTGATGATTTTCTTTTAAAGCTATAGATTCTTATAAGTACTTAGGAAGATTTATGTCTTTTAAATTACTGTTTCTCTTTTTCTTTGTATACTCTACGTTTGGTATATGAAAATTGCTGCTGTGTTATTTGGGACATAGATATTTGTAAATGTTTTTTTATTTTCATTGTGAATTGGAGCCATAATCTTTACTTGTTTTTGTTACTGTCAATTAACTTGTAGTCTGATTCTACTTTTTTTGGCATTAAGATTGTGACTATTGATTTCCTTTTATTTGCATTTGCCATGAATATTTGTTCCTCCTTATTTTTAGCTTATTTGTGTCAGTATATTTTAGTGTGTACTTTGTACGCAGCATAAAATTGAATTTTTCTTCAGAAACCTATAAGAAAGCACTTTAAAAACTATACACATTAAGTGCATTTACATTCAATATTTCACTGTTTGATATATCATTTTATATTCATTTTCTTCAGCATATCTGTATTTGATAAATATGTAGAATAGTCACTTATTATATAATTTCTGTGCTAGTTATTTTTAAAATATTTTTGGCATTTAGGGAGACAGTTTTAATCTAGACTTTTTAAAAAACAACTTTTACTTAATGCTCTTAAATCTCTTTACTGCAGATATTTTTTGGCTTTCAACTCTGAAGTAAAATAAAATGAGCTCATAATGTCTTCTTGCCTATCTCTGCTTTTAGCCACCCAGTTTTAATTGAATGTATTATCTTTTGAACGGCTTATCTTTGTACTCTTAAAGATAATTAGTAGACTTTTACTATACTATTTTAAAACTTTCCTTTAATCTCTAACTCTTATTCATGAGGTATTCAGTGACCTTCAATTTCCTTACTCTTTTCCACTCCTCTTGACATATTTAAGATTTCATTATATTTAATTTGCAAGGGCAGGTACATTTCTTCCACCTAACCATTCACCTTTTATTTTCATTATAGATCCACAGTTATGTCCAATCCTTATAATCTCTTCTTGCTGACGGTCCCTCACTCCCACCCCCCTGTCCCCACACACCCGGAGACATCTTTTAGGCAAATCGATTCTTTGATAAATATTTAATAAGGGCAGATGGGTACAATATTCTGTGCTTACATGCTTAAAACTGTTTTCCAAGTTTTGGTACTTACAAAATTCTTAGCTAGGTATAATATTCTTCATCCACACTTTCTTTTTCTGAGTAACTTTTTTAGTGTTTCTTCAGTCTTTTGCTTTAAAATGATCTTGTCCAGAAATTTGATGTGCACTTATCTTTTATGTTTTGTTTTTGCCTTTGTAAGAGACTTGGTATCTTTGCCAGGAAATGCAGAGGATTTTTTTCTTAAGCTTAAATTCTGATATTTTAAAACATGTTTTGACATTGTATATTCTGGTTCAATTTTTTTTTCATTAACTAAGTTTTTATTACTTTTAATGGAGCTTAAGTTGTCCATTTTTTGCATTACAATTCTTTATACACTTATATACCACAATTTTTCATATCTCTGTTTGTATATAAGGTATGTTGACACCAAATTCAAATCTTATTCTGGTTCAATTTTTACAGGTTTACAATATGCTTTTTCAGCATGTAGATGCAGATGTTTTATTTCAGGAAAAGTTTTGTGATTGAATATTTATTTGTTTAATTTATTTTTTTTCTTCTTTATGAAATCCAATTGTTATATCTTTTTTTTTGCCTTTTCCCAATAGCTGTCATTTTCTCTTGAATTCCTTTTTCTTGACATTTATTTTTTTATTTTTATTTTTTATTTACATAGAACAGCTCAATGCATTATAATTCATATTACACAAATACAGCAGAATTGTTCATATCTCTGGTTGTATACAAAGTATATTTATAATAATTCATGTCTTCATACGTGTACTTTGGATAATGATGTCCATCTCATTCTACCATCATTTTTAATCCCATGCCCCTTCCATTCCAACCCCTCTGCCCTATCTAGAGTTTGTCTATTCCTCCCTTGTTCCCCCTCTCTACCCTACTATGAATCAGCCTCCTTATTTCAGAGAGAACATACGGCATTTGGTTTTTCAGGATTGGCTAACTTCACTTAGCATTATCTTCTCCAACTTTGTCCATTTAGCTGCAAATGCCATGATTTTATTCTCTTTTATTGCTGAGTTAAATATTCCATTGTGTCTATATGCCACATTTTTTTTTTTATCTATTCATCTACGGAAGGGCATCTAGGTTGTTTCCACAGTTTAGCTATTGTGAATTGTGCTGCTATAAACATTGATGTGGCTGTGTCCCTGTAGTATGCTGTTTTTAAGTCCTTTGGTAAAGACCAAAGAGAGGGGATAGCTGGGTCAAATGGTGGTTCCATTCATAGTTTTCCAAGGAATCTCAATACTGTTTTCCATATTGGCTGCACCAATTTTCAGTCCCACCAGCAATGTATGATTGTACCTTTCCCCCCACATCCTTGCCAACACTTATTGTTGTTTATCTTCATAATAGCTGCCATTCTGACTGGAGAGAGATGAAATCTTAGAATGGTTTTGATTTGCATTTCTCTAATTGCTAGAGATGTTGAACATTTTTTCATATATTTGTTGATTGATTGTACATCATTTTCTGAGAAGTGTTTCTTCAGGTTTTTGGCCCATTTATTGATGGTTATTTGGTTTTTTATTTTTTTTTTGGTGTATAGCTTTTTGAGTTCTTTTTTTAAAAATTATTGATTTTATCTATTTATTTATTTAAATACACAATAGCAGAATGCATTAGAATTCTTATTACACATATAGAGCACAGTTTTTCATATCTTTGTATATAAAGTATGTTTATGCTAATCCATGTCTTTATACATGTACTTTTTTTTGCATTACAATTCTTATTACACATATATACCACAATTGAGATTAGTGCTCCATCTGATGTGTGAGGGGTAAGAATTTGCTTCCAAGAAGTAGGCTCTCTATTCATCTCACAGATTGTTTCTTTTGTTGAGAAGAAACTTTTTAGTTTGAGTCCATTGCATTTATTGATTATTAATTTTAATTCTCGCACTATAGGAGTCTTATTAAGGGAGTTGGGGCCTAATCCCACATGATGAAGATTAGGGCCTATATTTTTCTTCTATTAGAGTCTCTGATTTAATTCCTAGGTCCTTGATCCACTTTGAGTTTTGTGCATGGTGAGAGATAGGGGTTTAATTTCATTTTGTTGCATATGGATTTTCAGTTTTCCCAGTATCATTTGTTGAAGAGGCTATCTTTTCTACAATGCATGTTTTTGGCACCTTTGTCTAATATAAGGTAATTGTAATTTTGTGGGTTAGTCTCCGTGTCCTCCATTCTGTACTGTTGGTCTACCAGTCTGTTTTGGTGCCAATACCATTCTGTTTTTGTTACTGTTGCTTTGTAGTATAGTTTAAGGTCTGGTATAGTGATGCCACCTGCTTCACTCTTTCTGCTAAGGGTTGCTTTAGCTATTCTGGGACTCTTATTTTTCCAAATGAATAAAAATATGAAACACTTCACAAATTTGTGCGTCATCCTCGTGCAGGGGCCATGCTAATCTTCTCTGTATTGTTCCAATTTTAGTGTATGTGCTGCTGAAGCGAGTACTTTTTCTTGACATTTCTTATTTATATCCTATTTGCCCTTTATTGAAATTTTGGACTTATATATTCTGTTTTGGAAGTTTTGTAGTTTGTTTTATACCTGAGATAATTTTGCATTTTACTTCCTTTTTTTTGTACCAGAATTCTTTAGTTCCTGTTTTATGTCCACCTAATGCTTATTCAGTTTTATTCTAAGTACTTTTTTAAAATAAACTGTTTGACATAACTTAATATTTAAAAAATCATGTTCACTGAGGTAAATTTACATACAATAAGTTCAACCTTTAAAGTGTGCAGTTTGATGAGTTTTTATAAATTTATGCAGTGATGTAATGATTACCATTATTCAGTATGTAGAATATTTTGTCACTCTGGAAAGTTTCCATGTGCTTTTGTGGTCAGCTCATCCCTTCTGATGAACAGTGATGTGTTTTCTATTTTTACAGGTTAGCTTTTCTACAATGTAATATATATTGGGTTCATGAAGAATGTAGCCTTTTGAATTTGTCTGTTTTCACTTAGCAGCATGTTTTCCAGATGCACGCATGTTGTTTGAGTTATAAATATTTAGTTCATCTTCATTGCTGAAGATAATTTCATTGAATGATTGTATCAAAATGTACTTATGGGAGGCAGGAAAGATGGTGGAATGAGATGGACATCATTACCCTAGGTACATGTATGCCTGCACATATCATATGATGCTGTATCATGTACAACCAGAGAAATGAAAAGTTGTGCTACAATTGTGTACAATGAATCAAAATACATTCTGCTGTAGTATATACCTAATTAAAATAAATAAATTAATTAATAAAAATGTATTTGTGCATTCATGTTAGAGGACATTTTAACTTTTTCTAGTTTGGTTCTATCTTGAATAAAGCTGCTATAAACTGTAGCATAGGCGTCTTTGTGTATGTGTATGCTGGCATTCTACCTGATGAAATAACTGAAATATGAGAGTGCATTGTATGTGTATTTTTAACTTTCTAAAAAATTGCTAACCTCTTTTCCAAAGTGGTTGAACCATTGACGTCCTCTAGGGTGATGTTCTGATCCATATTCTAATTTGGACATAGTACTGATAGTCTTTTTAATTTAAGCTATTCTAATAGATGTCTTGTAGTATCTCATTTTGGATTTAATTTTCATTTTACTGATAATTAATAACAAAACCTTTTCATATAAAGATTGATTATCTGTATAGTTTTTTTTAATAAAAATGTGTTAAAATATTTTGTTCAATTTTTGAGTATTTGTCATTTTCAGTATTGTGACCTGAGCTTTCTGTTCTTATTTTATCTCAAAATAAGTAATCTGTAATCATTTGCCTAATTTTAGAAATTTATATTGCCTTTGTCCTATAGTTTGTCTCTACTTCATTTGCTGTGTGTATGTATGTATGTATGTATGTATGTTTTATCATGTGCTCAGAATGAATGAGTTAAAATGCAATTCTGATGTCCTAAATACCTAATTAAAATAAATATACTCAGGAGAAGCGGCTGAGGAGCCGGCCTGCAACCTGCCTGGCGGCTCTAGTAGGCGCAGGCGTCGGGAGTGGCCGCCTCACAGGCAGCTCTGGAGGGATCCGGTTGAGGAGGAAGCAGAGGCGTCCCGACCTGGGCCTTCGCCTTGATCCTCCATGGACGCTCGACTGGGCCTACAGTACTCCCTTACGTGTGGCTAAAGGAGGAGTTGACCACACCAAAATGAGTCTGCATGGTGCTAGTGGTGGACATGAGAGATCAAGAGATAGACGAAGGTCAAGTGACAGATCACGAGATTCATCTCATGAAAGAGCAGAGTCTCAGCTCACTCCTTGTATTAGAAATGTTACTTCTCCAACACGGCAGCATCATGTTGAACGAGAAAAAGATCACAGTTCCTCTCGTCCAAGCAGTCCTTGTCCTCAAAAAGCATCCCCAAATGGTTCCATTAGCAGTGCTGGGAATAGCAGCAGAAACAGTAGTCAGTCAAGTTCAGATGGTAGCTGTAAGACATCTGGGGATATGGTGTTTGTATATGAAAATGCAAAAGAAGGAGCTCGGAATGTAAGGACATCAGAACGAGTGACACTAATAGTGGATAACACTAGATTTGTTGTAGACCCATCCATTTTTACTGCACAGCCAAATACAATGTTGGGCAGGATGTTTGGATCTGGCCGAGAACATAACTTTACACGTCCCAATGAGAAGGGAGAATATGAAGTGGCAGAAGGAATTGGTTCCACTGTATTTCGAGCTAT